GTGGTCATTATTTTTGTTTTCTTTATAGTGAACATTAAGCCTGCCTTTGCACTTTCTTCTTTGATCTTCTGGGGCAGTTGTTCCAGGTCTGTGAGGTTCTCTGCTAGTATTATGGTGTCGTCAACATATCTCAGATTGTTGATATTTTTTCCTATTTTCACTCCTCCCTCTTCCATGTCCAAGCCTGCTTTCCTTACAATATGTTCTGCATATAGTTGAATAGGTAGGGTGAAAGGATGCAGCCTTATCTGACTCCTTTGCCAATTGGGAACCATTCTGTTTCTCCATGTTCTGTCCTAACAGTAGCCTCTTGTCCTGAGTACAGATTCCTCAACAGGACTATCAGATGTGTTGGCACTCCCATGTCTTTAAGGGCATTATAGCCTTTCATGATCTATGAAGTCAAAGGCTTTGCTATACACCATACTGCTATATACCATACTGGTTGCTTATGTACAGTATTTGTATTTTTTCAAGATGGTCAGACTGGTGCTCCTAAGGGTAACTTTACATAAAGAGATGGTGCCATCTATTGGCCAAGTGTGTTTATTCTCATCAAGTACAAGCTATAAATTTTGAGATCAAATATTCAAATTACTATAGTTAAAGCATGCCAAAAAACCTTTTAACTTTCTATATACAGGTGATCTAGAATCATAGAATCAAAAAGTTGGAAGAGACCACAAGGGCCATCTAGTCCAAACCCTGCCATGCAGGAACTCACAATCAAAGCACCCCCAACAGATGGCCATCCAGCCTCTGTTTAAAATCCTCCAAAAAAGGAGACTCCGCCACAATCTGAGGGAGTGTATTCCACTGTTGAACAGCTCTTACTGTCAGGAAGTTCCTCCTAAAGTTTAGGTGGATTCTCTTTTCCTGTAGTAGAAAATGTTTTAGTACTGATCCATAGATATGTGGCATGACGACATAAGGTAACTGACAGCAACAGAAAAGTGACTGAGAGCAACAAAAATGAGCTATCTCAACATGAGTCAATATCACACTACACTGTTATAGCACTATATAACACTTCAATTGCTATAGCTGCCTTCTGTGAAATGCTGGGTTTTGTAGTTTACTGAGACCTTAGCCCTCTCTGGCTGAGAATTCAAAATGGCCCTTCCTAAACTGCAAATCCCAGGGTTCCACAGGAGGCATTCATAGCAATGAAAGTATAATAATTATGCCATTAAAGTGTATTGTGATGTCAACCATTGCTTCAATGCGAATGGGAACCAACAGAATTGGAGAAGTGGAGCATTTTAAACACCAAGATGAGTGCAACCTTTATTATTGATGTAGGATAGTTGCTTGCCTTTTGTGTTGTCCCTTTTTCTAAAACTGAGTTCCTCAATCCGATGCCTGCCAATGTGTTGGACTATAATCCCCAACATCCGCAGACATCCGTAAAATACCAAATGTGTCTGTTCTTCTCGTGGCATTTTACACATTGTTGATCTTTCCTATATATTCTACTTAGAAGGCCAATATCTGCATTCAGTTTGGAAATACTGCCCTCCGCTTTGCTTTTGGGCTGCCAGTGAGAGCATCGTAGTTCCCAAACTTTGGCCCTCCAGGTGTTTTGGACTTCATCTCCCAGAAGCCCCAGATCGGTTGGTTAAGTGTCAGGAATTCTGGGAGCTGAAGTCTAAAACATCTGGAGGACCAAAGTTTGGGAATCACTGACTGATTCAGAAAGACAAACAGGAGTCTTTCTTCTTTGCTATATCTTATGGCTGTGGGTATAAAGCAAATCAAACAGTTGTGTCTGCTTGAGATAGCTGCTGCCACACTGCAGAATTAATGCAGTTTGACACCACTTTAACTTCCGTGGAATCCTGGGATCTGTAGTTTGTGGTGGCATCAGAGTTCTCCGACAGCAAAGGCTAAGTATCTCAGAGAACTACAAATCTAGAATTCCATAGCTATGGCAGTCAAAGCAGTGTCAAGCTGCATTGATTCTGCAGTGTAGATGCAGAGAAGTGGACCCAAAACACGATCCAGTGTGGCCTAAACTTAAGATGAAGTGCTTTTGTTATTGTTATTGGTGCAGAGGCTTGAATGTTGGACTATGATTCTGGAGATCAGGGTTCAAAATCACAGCTTGGCCATGAAACCCACTGGGCGACCTTGGGCAAGTCACACTCTCTCAGCCTCAGGGGAAAGCAATGGCAAATCTCCTCTGAACAAAGCTTGCAAAAAAAACCCTGTGACAGGTTCGCTTTTGGGTTGCTGTAAGTCAAAAACGACTTGAAGGCACACAACAACATATATAATATAGCTGTAAATGAACCATATGAAATTAATGTCTATTTACATTCGTGCTTTTAGCTTTTATTCGATAATGCCCTCTGATTTCTTGAATGTCCTACATTTGTAGGTGCTTTCTCCTCCATAATGGGAGGCTAGGGATGGGATCCTGGCTCGGGCATAGAAACCCACTGGATGACCTTGGACAAGTTATAATCTCTCAGCCTCCGAGGATGGCAATGGCAAACCCCCTCTGAACAAATCTTGCCAAGAAAACTCCAGGATAGGTTGGCCTTAGGGTTGCCGTAAGTTGGAAATGACTTGAAGACACACACACAGGGTGACTATGCGTCCTCCTTTTCCAGGACATGGCCTACATCATTTCAACCTTCTGTCCAGGAGGAATTCCAAAATGTCCTCCATTTTGATTTTGACCATGACAAAGAAGCATGAATTTACATTTATATGAGTGCTTCTAGCTTTTCTCTTGTCATATCCTACATTTATCTTGAATGTCCTACATTTTTCAGTGCCTTGTCCTTCTTGGCGGTTAGGACACCTGGTCAGCCTGCACTCAAGCCACTGGTCACACTCTCTCAACCTCAAAAGACAACAATAGCAAATTCCCTCTGAAGAAACTTGCCAAGAAAACGCTGTGATAGGTTCACCTTTAGGGTCGCCATAAGCCAGAAAACGACTTTCAGGCACACCACAAGGTGACAGACATCCTCCTTTTCTAGGACATTTACTACATTTCAACCTTCTTTCCAGGAAAAATTCCCAAGTGTCTTCCATTTGGAGCAGGACTAAGAAGCAGGCATTTCTATTTCTAGGAGTCTTTTTAGCTTTTATTTTCTGTCCAGGAGGAATTCCCAAAAGGTCCTCCATTTTGAGCAGAACTAAGAAGTATGAATTTATATTTCTATAGGAGTGTTTTGTAGCTTTTATTTTCTGTCTAGGAAGAATTCCCAAAAGGTTCTCCATTTTGAGCAGGACTAAGAAATATGAATTTATATTTCTAGGAGTGTTTTGTAGCTTTTATTTTCTGTCCAGGAGGAACTCCCAAACGTCCTCCATTTTGAGGAGGACTAAGGGATATTAATTTATATTTCTAGGAGTGTTTTGTAGCTTGTATTTTCTGTCCAGGAGGAACTCCCAAACGTCGTCCTCCATTTGGAGCAGGGCTAAGAAGTATGGATTTCTGTGTTTAGGAGTGTTTTGTAGCTTTTATTTTCTGTCCAGGAGGAACTCCCAAAAGGTCCTCCATTTTGAGCAGGACTAAGAAGCATGAATCGACACTTCTAGGAGTATTTGGTAACTTTCATTGGGTCACTTCCCACATTTTTCTTTATTTGAAGCTCCTCCATTTTGTGGTGCCTGGCCCTCCCTCCTTGGCGGTGAGGAAGGCCCCTCAAGAGTTTCCCAAGGAGGCCTCTCCTCTCCTCTCAGGCCCAAAACACACTGCAGAAATAATCCAGTTTGAGACCTCTTTAGTTGCTAGGGAAATGTGGAGTTTGTAGCCGGGTTTGTGAGACGTTGACGAGCCCTTCTCCGTCAGAGAGAGAAAGAGAGAGAGAGAAAACAACAACCGCTATGGCGCCACAGCAAACTACACTTCCCAGCATTCCCTAGCACTGAGCCAGGGCCGTTAAAGCGGTCTCGAAAGTGGGTTATTTCCGCGGTGTGTTTGGGGCCGCCTCAGCCTCCCTTCCCGGCTGCTGGGAGAGCCGTCGAGGAGCTCCACTCCCGGCCCAGGAGGCCTGGCTGGCTGCCTTCCCCGCCCGAGGCCAGGCGGAGCCATCAGCCAGAGGAGAAGGAGGAGGAGCGGCGGCGGAGGAGGAGAGGTCTGTCGGTGGCCCAGAGAGACGGAGGAGCCCCGAACGGCCGCGGAGGAGAAGAGGACGGTAAGCAACAGCCGCCGCCGCCGCCGGGACAAAATGGCGGCCCTCCCTGGGCTTCCTTCCTGTCAGGGCCGAGGGGGAGCCGCCTTTTCCCGGCCGAGGACTGAGGCGTGGCTGGGGCGCCTCCCGGGCTGGCTAGGCCCTGGCAAGAGAGAGAGAGAGAGAGAGAGAGAGAGAGAGGGATATACGGTTGTGTTGTGGGGGAGAGGGAGGAAGCTCAGGGCGAGAGGACCGTGGCTGTATCCATACTGCGTTAATAATCCGGTTTGATACCGCTTCAACTGCCACGGTCTCGATGCCCGTGGGATGCTGGGATTTGTATAAAATAAGCAAATAAATAAATAAATAAATAAATGCATTTTGTAGTTCTATGCGCCCCTGATAGAGAAGGCCTGCATGTCTCACACACAAACACTACAGATCCCAGGATTCCATAGCAATTGAGCCTATAATAAGCAATTGGCACCATTTTAACGGACCTGGCTCCATGCTGTGGATTTCTGGGAAGGGTAGTGTGCTTCGGCGACAGAAATAATCTGGTTTCATGGCACTTTAATATAAAGTTAAAGTGGTGTCAGACTGGATTGTTTTTAGTGCCACAACAAAACTGCCATTCCCAGAATTTCATAGCATGGAGCCATGGCAGTTAAAGTGGTGTCAAACTGGATTATTTTTTGATGCAATAACAAACTGCCATT